AATCCTAATCTAACCTAAGCTGTATTAAGATCCCCATGCCTATGATCCTTATCTTAGACACCCTGTATATTAGATGATGCTTAGGCTCTAGTATTTACCCTCCTGTTTAGATGCTACGGTTCACACAACGAATCGGTAAAAGAAACATCTACCAATTTTAGCTACTCAACACCAGTTCCACTTGCACAATCGAACATTTCGAACGGCTGACATTTTCCAACGCTAATTCAAATTTATTCTAAAAAGTTAACATCCGGGATTTGCATTTAAATTCCCCTGTAACCCCACACGGGATGCGAAAGAATACGCAAAATTGTGGCAGGATTTTGTCGCTCTTCATTAAAAAATGCTCGTAAAAAACAAACGAAAAAATACCGGCCTACTCTGCGCGTGCAATTAAATCTCTGGCCGCCATTATTCAAATTAAGTAGGCGAGCTTTTGGAATAAACATCGCTTTTGTTTTTAACACCCCGGGCAAGCGTAATTCACTGCGACACGTTGCCACATTTACAGCATCGTTAATAATAATAATAGTGCTTATTAGAGCATTGATACATATACTAAGTGACATATAAATCCGAACACCCAGTTTAAATGGTTTTATTTTAATAAAATTTTGCATAAGTACTTAATGAAGCATAATAAGTAAATGATAAAAATTTCAAAATGCTTGCACGGCTTTAAAGCCCTTTGACCTTTAATAATGTGTGGATGCACCCTGATGTACTACGCATTCTCCAACGCGCCTAGGCATGCTTCTGATCAGGTGGTCAATGTCCTCCTGTGATATCTCATTCCAGGCAACCACCAACTCCTCTCGAAGTGCTTCTAGAGTCTGAGGAGGACATTGCAAATTGAGCAATCTCCTACCCATCATATCCCACACGTGCTCAATTGGGGATAAGTCGGGAGATCTTGGTGGCCATGGTAACAATGTGACATCATTATGTTGAAAGAAGTCTATTGTGATTCTTGCAACATGTGGTCGGGCATTATCTTGTTGGAAAGTTGGATCTGCCAGGGTGTCAAGATAGGGTAAAAGATGGGGTTCTAGAACTTCGTGGATATAACGCTGCGCGTTCATGTTACCTCTGATGAAGATTAAAGGTGACCTGGAACCATAAGCTATAGCACCCCAAACCATAACTCCAACAGTGTGATGAACATGTCTTTCAATAAAAAACTGTGGATTCCTCCTTTCACCACGTCGCCTTCTAACCCTGGCACGACCATCGTGCATGCCTAAACAAAATCGAGACTCGTCACTAAAGACAATACTGTTACATTCCTGATTCCAGAGTGACCGTTGTCTGCACCACTCAAGGCGATTACGTTGGTGTTCTCGAGTTAAAGGGAGGACCCAGTGTGGCCGATATGAAAACAAGCCAATACTTCTCATTCGTCGGTAAACATTTCGCATGCCAATAGGTCTTCCGTGTTCTGCAAATCATTCATTTGCAATGGACCTGGTAGTGGAGAAACGGTCCCTTAAGGCCAATAATATTAGGCGGCGATCTTCACGGTCTGTTGTTCTACGGCGGCGTCCAGTGCCCCTTGCTCTTTGCGTACGGCCTTCTCGAAGCCATGCCTGACAACACCTAACCACAGTGTCTACACTTCTTTGCACACTAACTGCAATTGCCCGAAAAGAAAGTCCAGCTTCCCGAAGTCCCACTATACGGCCCCTACCAAACTCACTAAGTTGACGAAATCGTACAGGTCTCCGTACTCTAGGCATCGTAACCGATCGTAAAGGAAGTCAAGAACCAAAATCCGCCAACGTTGATTCTTTACTGCGGCTGAAATATTCATTTTTAGAGCGTTAGTGAATTAAAAAAAAGTAGTATAAAAACCGGAAGGTCCAATTGATAAGGCTGAAAATTTTTTCACTTGTTATTTACAGTAAGATAAATACATTCACCAAATTTTATTAAAATAAAACCATTTAAACTGGGTGTTCGGATTTATATGTCACTTAGTATAATAGAATGGAAATAACAACTACAACTCAAAATAGTAACACCGTAAAAGGCAGGGGATTGGAAAAGCCATTTTTCACCCTGTACTGAGTAGCTAATGTAGATATAACCCAAATTTACAAAGTAACAGAAAATCACATGCATCATATACAATAACTTTAACTATAATACAAAATTTCAAGGATAACAATGATGGTAATAGTTCATTATTCCAGAAACTATATCAGTATCTTCATTAGATTATAACTATAGCATAACGATGGGAGCTCCACATGGCTCCATCCTGGGGCTGTTTTTTGGAACGTGTTCTACAATGGGGTTCTTAGGTTTCAGATGATGCTGGGAATTCGCTTGATATGGCATGCTGAGGATCGATTGGTGCTGGTGACATTAGAACTCTGAGCTCTGAGCTTATGACATGAGGATTCCCATTTGGATGGAAGAGAATGGATAGACATTCACTCCTGAGAAAGCGATTGTGATCACACTTTCTGATAGACTGAAGCTAACTTTATCGGATATTAGGGTTAGGGTTAGAAATACCGAGATTCGATTTAGAAAAGTCGTCTTCAGGTCAGTAAGTTAAGGTAACCATGGGAGTTCCGTATGGCTCTATCCTAGGGTTATTGCTTTGGCAATACGACCCCCTTAACACTACAGTTGGCCCAACTATTGAAATCTTAGTTTTTTGCTTATCAAACACAAATAATAAAAATGTAGCGTGTTATAGGTTCAAAATCTTAACAATGAATATTTTCATAATATATAGTAGTAAACACCAACTTTATCACTCCCTAATCAAGTTTGCAGCATAAAAATAACACATGTTGCCATTACAGCATATCGACCTATTTTCATTTCAATGCAAAAAAAGTCTATAACGCATAGGTGGCTGTGAAAAATAAAAGCCATGACAATTGTTTGTATTAATCACAGCTGTCAGAATACGCTTAAAATAGTTTTGGGTAATTAAGGTTTTCAAAATGGGTAGAGGAAAGGTTATTAGTGAGAAAATTCGGTTACTGATAATTAAATTTTTTAATTCTGGGCAATCAAACTCAGATATAAACGCATATTTTGGTACAAATCTTGAAGTGGGCCAACTGAAGTGGGAAGGGGCTCGTATAGGATATGCTGACGATATAGCGATGATGGTGACTAGCAAGAAGAGAGGTACACTAGAAAGGCTATTGATTTATGAGCAACTACCATATGTATGGAAGCGAATGGATTGAAATTTGCTCCTGAGGATTCGTCATACTGTCCGACAGAAAAAAGCTATCTTCATTGGTTGTTAGAGCTAGAAATGCCGAAATTCAAAGCCAGAATGTAATTAATTATCTAGAAGGTTCTATAAACATCTAAATATAGCTGAACTCATAAGGCACACCACTGATAGAGCAGGCTAGCACCATCTGAGGGAGGTCCCATGGTGAGAGGCGCAGGATCTTGGCTGGGGTGTCAATCTGGAGCCCCTATCTGTGGTAAGGCTTTGAGAAAGAAGACGTATAGGTAGGTGTGAGAAAGATGAAACCGCGCGTGATCTGCGCCTCTAGTATGGTATGCTTAGATGTACTGCTGGTGGTGGCTGGTATCCCGCCGATTGATTTACTAGCTGGGGAAAGATGTGCGCTCTGTAAGAAGGGCTCTGGAGCAAAGGTCTGATTACTATACTGCACACTCTTTTACAGGAGGTGGTTGTCTTGACAGCTACCTAAAGATGGCTGGAAATAGAGAGTACGCGAACTGCGTATATTTTTTCAAAGAAGACTTCTGCGCATCATTTGGGCGTGATAGATGAGATTGCCAGAGATAACTGGGATTGACACTGGGCGAGTAGCTCACTGCTGGTAGCACCCATTACAGACCAAGTAATCTGTAATGGGTTTATACCTTGTGACTTGTACATAACTACGAATGCAGATATACGGTGAGGGGAATATGATGGCAAATAGTTTTGTTATGAATATTTAACACAACGTTGCCCACCGTAATGAAATGCTGCAATGACTGAGGGGTTTTAGTGGGTTCTCATTTTCATGAAGAATTCCACATTTCAAGAAAAGAGGCCACAATGATTGTGCTATTGAGCTATTCGGCCTTGAGATGGATATAAAACCTTCCCTCTAACCAAAGAAATGTCAATAACTTGAATATGGATTTCATAAAAATGAGTATTAACGTCGACCTTACAAAATGTTCTTATGTTTGTTTATGGTCCATTTCTGAATGGCTCTGTAAAAGATCCCGTCTTATCCGATACCTCTCCAACTGTTCACGAAGTCTTTTCAACGCCACCTTCCTCAAAGGACTCGCGCAAAAGTCCGAAACTTCTAAACAGCACAATCGGAAAAGTTCGGCGAGAACGGAGCGCGATGCTGCCGTGTTTTAATTCCGGGTTCCGGTTCCGGAGGACAATCAATAACCGCGGCTGTAAAGTTCACAGGCAGAAGCTGCTACAGTTTCTGCTCTTGTCGGATAGCGCAAATAAAGTTGCCGCATCCGACAATCAGTTTCGACCGAGATGCGATCGTGAAAGTTCCCAGGAGTTTGGAGAAAAAATGTTACACAATTTTTATCAATCAACTTCATTTATTCCACAGAGTACAGCTGCGATGGTTGAATTGCCGAAATGTCACGACTACTATAAAGCAGAGGAAATTCCATGATGTTCTGGCCGAATTAAACCCCATACCTACCTTCAGTCCCAAGAAATTGTTTTATTTTTTTTTAAATTTTAGATAAAATACATTTATCAGGATTCAAAAAACAAGAACATATGTTTTACAAAAAAATAATACAGTATTTTGGACAAATCGACTCAACTAAAAAAAGGTGGTCAAACGGCGGAAATTGTGGATGTTAGGGATGTTAAAACGTACAAACTTCGTTTACCTTCAGTTGATCGTGAGTTCAAAAAATTATATCGGTTCGACGAAGCATATGTACAATTTCTTGCGGACAGATTTTTAGTTGAGAATGAGGAAACTCGAGGAGGAGCACTTTCATGTATTCATAAAATGAAGATATGTCTACGCTATCTCGGTGACCCTGGATATCAACAAGGTATTGGTCAGGAACTTGGTGTTAGTCAGGCAACGGTATCTCGGACTGTGAATAAAGTTGTGAACAGCATAGTTGCACAGTCGAACGAATGGATCAAGTTTCCAACTACCTACCATGAACTGATGGAGGCCAAGCGGATTGGTGTAATTGATTGTATACATATAGGAATCCTGAAACCAAATCGCCATGGAGATGAGTATATCAACCAAAAAGGGGAACCTGCTTTAAATGCGCAAGCCACTTGTGATGCCAGGGAGATGTTTACAAGTGTTGGTGTCAGTTGGCCTGGATCAGTGCATGATTCTAGAACATGGAGAAATTCACAGACTAGATCATAACTAATAAATAAAGCAAATGTTGTACTACTTGGCGATGACGGTTATGGTATTGAGCCATGCCTTAAGACTCCTTTCTGAAATTTTGCTCCAGGTGCAGAAATAAATTATAATAAGCTTTTAAAACAATAAAGAGTTATAATTGAAGGCTGTTTCGGTCAAGTGAAACGCCGGTTCCCTATCCTATAGTATGTTTGCCGCGTAAAGTTGGAAAATGTGCCGAAAATAATTATTGCTTGTATATAATGTTGCGAAGAACTTGGGCGACCCTGACTTTGAGTTAGCTGAGCAAGACCCAGATAAAGATGAAGGAAATCATGAGAATGACGAACTTCCTCTTCGCCAACTAGGTCAACAATTAACAAGAAACTTGAGTATTATAATAAATAGTTTTACTGATTAAAGTGTATTTATATGTTATAATAAGTTTTATTTTCGTGAACATCATAAGTTACAGGTAGCTTCTGACGCTGCATCATTTCTAATTTCGTTTTATAATACTCTTGTTGTAAAATACTTGGTTGGTACTGCTGTAATAGCACTAGACGTTGCAGTTCTTTTATCGTTAACCCTTTGGTTTCCTCAGTTTCGTATTTCTCTGTTGCTAATTCTCTTTTTGCTGGCAATGTCTTCTGAATTGCTGGCGCTCTAATACTAACTGTTTGCTCACTGCGCTCCGTACATAGTTCAGTTCCTTCTTCTTGAACACTACCAACCTGAATGGCACCTCTAATTTTCCCAATTGTAGGATTACAGTCACCTTTTCAGCAACTTTCTTTCCCAATTTAAAAATGTAATTGCTTTATTACCAGTTTTTTTTAGATTTGTTTCTTTCTTCAATCTTGATTTCATGTTGTTGTTATATTTCAATAAGCCTTTAATATCTAACGGATTACCGAATGCTGATTCGTATTTTTTCAACATCTTCTTCAAGGCATCATCCTTTCTCATTTTTATTTTTGGAACTTGTGGCTTTTTCAAAATAAAGGGAGCAATGGCAATTTCATCTGCAATGAACTGCAGGTCGTTGCCATTATTTTCTATAGTTTCCTCATCACTTGAGAATCACATGCTTATTAATTTGATAAAAAAATGCATCCAGTAAAAATACGGAACGGTGTAAGCTCTGGAGTACAACTGTCAGTGATGCTGAGTGAACGAACTCCCACGTCAACTACAAGCTGGAACAAGTCAGGACATGTCGCTCAAGATACAAATACCAGTCAACCTTTTACTTCTTCTTGGAGGATATCCTCGCGAGTATAAGGTAATCATTATGAATATGAAAAGGAATAGGCTTATACTTCTACCTTTTTCTCCGAAGCAAGACCTTATACTTTGCTACTTATGCTTCCGAGGATATGCTTCTCTTTTATGAATACGCATCATTGCCTTTCTGTAGAAAGACATAAGTATAACTTACATTTCACACAGAAAAAACTAGTTTTTTGTGTACAGCGTTGATTACGGCAGTGCATATAGGAATTTTTGTTATGCTCATTATGAGTGGTCCTGACATCTTTTGGTGCTTTATCCGACTTCTTGCATTTTTTAGCAGGTCGGCTTATTTCTTCATCTGATGTGGAAGGTCCTGGATCTTGGGAAACTAACTGGTCTGTTGTCCATCCATTTGAGAATGGTACATTCTTTGTCTTCTCTTATAATTTCATCGAAGGAACCGCGACGTTTCGAGAGCAGCTCTTAATCATTTTCTATTTTATTTCTAAAATCTTGTGGAATCCGGTTGTTCATAATTGCTCCCAATATTCCTTGTGTCAGTAAATGACCCAGTAGACTGACTGAGGTAAAATAGCGATCAAAATAAATTAGGTGCCCTGGTGACAAATCTGCTGCAAGTTTCTTTAGCACCAAACCACCCTATTCCTAAATTTTGATCGGGAGAACTATCTGGCCAAGTTTTTGCACCTTGGTAAATAAAAAAATCTAGTACGAGTCCAGAAGGTGTAGCCAAAACAAAATTACTTAATCCCACAGGACTTGGCTTGCTTTTAGCATACAGTCGTAGACATGTGGTGCCAGTGAACGGGGTCATTTGTTCGTCGATACACAATTATGTACTTCTTGGTAAAGTAACACATTTTCTACGAACACTTATTGAAATAAAAAGTGATATTTTCGTGTGTTTTTGTTTTCTATCTGAACAAATTAAGATAATAGTAATAATGATAATAATAATAATAAATTTATTTTCCATCAGACATGCATGAACATGTATAGGTTTCGTCAAAAAGATACAATAAGTAAATATGTACAAATTAATTAAATAAAAAAAACAAACAAATAACATCCAACAACAAACAAGTTAAAATTAGTGATAAAAAACGATATTTAAAAATTGACAAAGTCGCTAATTGCATAAAAACAGTTACTTATAAAGTAGCTTTTCAGCTCAGATTTGAATTGGCCTATTGAGGTGATCCTTTTTATGGAGTCAGGTAGGTTGTTAAAAATTTTAGGACCTAAAATACATGGTGATCTGCTGCCTAACTTATAACGCGCAAAAGGTATATGGATGTCGTTTTGTCTGCGAGTGCCCATTTGATGTATATGACTATTCAAGGTGAAATCATCTTTGTTTAAAAAAGTATAGATAGCCATATTGTAGAGAAAAAGTGAAGGCAGTGTCATTATTTTTAATCTCTTGAATAATTCTCTGCAACTATAAGTGCTGCTTACTCCCACCATACACCTCACCAGCCGTTTTTGACTTAGGAACACCTTAGAAGCGTTCACCGATGAACCCCAGAAGCACAAAGCATACAGCATGCGAGACTCAACCTGACCATGATACAACATCAATAGCTGATTTTCTGTGAAAACAGATCTCAGGTTCTTGAATAAATACGCTTGTGAATTTATTTTTGATGACAGATAATCGCAATGTCCTTTAAAGTTGAGACATTGGTCTAAGTGGAGCCCTAAAAACTTAGTGCTTTTATCACTCTGCAGTGCTGAACCGTTCAGAACAAGCTGAATCGCTGGTATCGACTTTCGAATGTTATGGGACCTTATAACTGTGGTCTTCTCGCTATTAAGAAGAAACTGATTTTCTTCAAACCAGCTATTGATGTTGTACACTAAGGTGTTACATTTATTTATTAAATCAGCCGCGTCTTTATTTGGTATAATGATGGAGGCATCGTCTGCATACAACGTGAAATGTGCTTCAGGGAAACATTGCTCCAGGTTATTTATATAAAGGGAAAACAGCACTGGCCCCAATATAGATCCTTGTGGTACGCCTATATTTATGTTAACCATACCCGATTTGACCTGCTTCAGTTGACCAGCGTTGTTGTGTGTTATTGCCACGAATTGTGACCTATTCTGCAAGTACGATTTTATCCACAGGTAGGCTGAACCACCAATTCCATAGTCTGTTAGTTTGGCTGATAGTATGTCATGACGACACAGTCGAAGGGCCTACTGAGGTCACAACCACAGCAGTGCAGAATGATAAATTAACTAGAAAAACAAAAGGTTTGGTTATGTACAATAATATTTTCTTGACTAAGAAATTCGGAACCTCATCGGTGCCTGAAGAACGCTTGTTTTTTAACTTATCATTAATTAGTTTATAGAATTCTTCCTCCAAGAACGGGTATAAAAACATAAAAGATTCTTGGTCGCAGGTATGATCACTTGGAACTGGATTTGTACCCTTGGATATTTTTTGAATAATATCCAAAGGAGCCTGTTTAAAACAGTAGTTAAAATAATTAGAAATTTCTTGTGGATTTCTAATGGTTAATCGATTATCAAGCAGTACAATGTTCTTTGATACTCTATTTCTTCCGTTTATGCCAGAAACCACATTCCAGGCAGCCTTCATCACGTTGTGCGAATTGGATATTTTTTGTTGATAATATGCCTTTTTTGTTTTTCTGACAAGCTTCTGATGTTGTTTTTTTGCATCTAGATAATGTTGTCTGTACTCAGGGATAATTGTTGACAACATATGCTGTTCACGCAAGCATGAACTCGACAACTTTACATTTTCATCGACCCATTTCTTGCTGTTGACATTTACGCAGTGGAAAATTTATTTGGAAGTGATAGTCAAACACTCGAAAGAAGTACTCAAATAAATTATTTATACCCCGGTAACTATACAGTGGTGACCAGGTTTCCTTACTTAAGTCTAAAACGAAGTTTTGAACAGATGAGTGAGTATTTTTATAATTTTCCCGAAAACGAATCGACTGATTTTGAAAATTCAAGCGTCAAAATAAAGGACTTTGAAAGACATTTCAAACAACCTATTACCCGATACACCTTTTCACTTAAAATATATAAGGGAATGACCCTGGGGGGCCGAGGGCGAAAAGAGGGTGAAGTAGTTTTGGGTTAAAAAGTTGTTCCCCTTGACAAATCTTTTACGTGTTTCGGCGTTTTTTCTTTTAACTAGTGGTTTTCGATAAATCCAAATGAACACCCTTTACATTAACCAACTTATTAATTTCGATTAGTCCTCTTATCGTACACGTCAGCACGAACTTTTTTCAAACAGTTGTAGAAAAATGATCTTATATTTTATTGTATCCTCCTATTCTTGGTTGCTTCCCTTCCCGGTACATTCGACTCCTATTGAACACGTCTCAGCTTCCAATGGATGGGGATTCGTAATGAAAATCCGCTCCAAAAAGCGCCGTTAATCGTTGACGCTTTCGCAGTAGCATCCCCTACACGCCCCCCTTCAAACCCTCTGGATCCTTTTTCCCGCAGAACATGCTGCCGAATGCAAATCGGCAGACTTTGGCATTCGCCCAAAATGGCTCTGCGTCAGATTGCGGCCCGGCACAAGAACCATAGTACAGTCATCTTACACTTATTATACAGGGTGTAAAGTTAGTAGTGGATCAACGGAAGTCAGGTGATAGAAGGCCTTAAAACCTATCGAATATAATAAATAATAAATAATAAAACGAAAGGCTAAATACACCATTACAAAGATCGGGGAAGGCATGAAAAATAATTGAACG